CGCCCGCGTCGTCTCCCTGGACCCTGGGCCCGGGCTCCCTCCGGCACGGCACGGCGGCGGATGGAGGACGAGGGCACGCCGCGGGAGCAGGCCCGCCTCTCTAGGAATGTGCGGGGCACTTACCGTGGGGACCTGTGAGCGACGCAGCGGGGATTCTAGCCATCCTGGAACTTAGGGGCTTGGGGCTCTGGCGTTTTTGAGCTGGAGTCTCCCTCTGCCGCCCAGGCTGGAGTGCCGTGGCTCGCTCGCGGCCACCCCAGCGTCGACCAGCCGGGCTCCGGCGATCCCTCCGCCTCAGCCTGCCGAGCAGCCAGAACTGCAGGCACGTGCTATCCCGCCCGGCAGTTTTCTGTTTATTGTAGAGATGAGGTCTCACGAAGTTGCCCGGGCTGGTCTTGAACCCGCCGGCTCAGGCAGTCCACGCGCCTCGGCCTCCCAGGGTGCTGGGATGCCAGGCCGAGCCACCGAGCCTGGTCAAGGAACTTAGGTTTTAAAAGGAGGGACAGGCAATAGGATGGAGGAACCAAAACAGGGTGATGTGCGCTCTGAAGGCCTCTCTGCTTTCCAGCAAGGGTCTGGTAGAGACTGATAGAACGAATGGGTGCGAGCATGCCGCAACCTCAGTAAAACTGGCGATTTGTAGCCGGGCTCGGTGGCTCAGCCTGTAATCCCAGCACTTTGGGAGGCTGAGGTGAGTGGATGGCCTGAGCCCGCGGGTTCGAGACCCGCCTGGGCAACTTGGCGAACCTTCATCTCTACATTAAATCAAAAATTAGCCGGGTGTGGTAGCGCGCGCCTGTATTCCAGCTACTTGGAAGGCTGAGGCGGAAGGATCGCCGGAGCCCAGCAGGTCGAGGCTGCGGTGGCCGGGAGTGGCCACTGCACTCCAGTCTGGGTGACAGAGTGAGACTCCAACTCAAATAAATAAATAAATAAATAAATAATAAAAGAGCAGGCCCAGCGCAGTAGCTCAAGTCTGTAATTCCAGCATTTTGGGAGGCCGAGGTGAGGGGATTGCCTGAACCCACAGGTTCGAGACCAGCCTGGGCAACTTGGCGAGACCTCATCTCTACAATAAATCAAAAAAATTAACAAATAAAATAAAAGAGCACAGTGATGGAATAATGGAGAGGTAGAGGGATTGACGGAAGTGGGCAGGAAAGGCCTCTCCTAGGGGATGATGCTGGAGCAGAGACAGGATGATGAGGAGCAAGCAAGAACCACAGAGACATGTGACTCCATTGGTAAGGGCAGCAAGCTCAAAGGCCTAAGGCAGGGAGTGAGGGCTCTGGAGGGGGAGAGAGCCAATGAGAACACAAATACTGGGTGTTCTCTCTGTGCTCCGTGGTGGTTAGGAAGGGTTAGGTGGCCCAAACTGAGGTCAGAGGGGTGGCCAGCAGTGAGGCACAGCTTGGGCGCACCCAGACCCATTCCCCAGTCTAGGCACACAGTAGGGTCTCAGGCACAACTGGGTACTCTCATGGTGTATCCTGGATTCAAGGGCAGAGTCCAGCTCTGATTCATCCTTGCATCCCGAATGTATGAGCGAATGAATGAATGTGATTCCTGCAATAACCTTTCCGGTGATTCTCTGACGCCCCCACCAGGATTTCCCACTGAGCTTCTCCACCTGGATATTCATTCTTTTGTTGCATCATCATGGTTTCCTGCTGCATCCTGCGTGACTGGGTGGTAAAAGATCCTGAAAGAGGAATAACACAATTCACTAGACACTTCTTAGGTTAGAAAGTGGGGGATCAGGGGGCACTTTGTCTCACAGAACAAAGGCCCCAAGTTTCTTACCCATCAGATTTTTATTAGTACAGAATGGCATAGTTAAGTAAGGCTTCAAGGACAAAGAACAGGCAGTGCAAGGAAAATTCCCTGTTTTGTTCTTAAAACGCTTTTGCAATAAAGTGTGACTGTTTACAGGATATCGTGCAGCTGCTTGCAAGACAATGTATAACTTTTTATCTAATCCAACACAGCAGACACTGCACTTTTAGAACTTGCCTCAGCATACATGCCTATCTGGCTTTGCCATTATAAGCATTCTTGACCGGTTGTGACTTTGCATGTACGCCAAGTATGTTTTCAGCAGAGTTCAAGCAGGGCAGTGGTCTCCAACAGTTTCCTCCATAATTTGTTGATGAAAAGTTTCAAACATATAGAAAAGTTGAAAGAATTGTGCAATATAGATTCATACCCCCACCACCTGGTCTCTGTAGTCAACAGTTTGCTATACATAGGAGGACTCAAAAAACCCAGAATTTATTTATAAAAAAATTGTGTATTGGCCAGGCTCGGTGGCTCAGCCTGTAATCCCAGCACTTTGGGAGGCCAAGGCGAGTGTATTGCCTAAGTCCGCAGGCTCGAGACCAGCCCAGGCGACTTGGCGAGATATCGTCACTACAGTAAATTTAAAAATTAGCCGGGCATGGCAGTGCGCACCTGTAGTTCTGGCTCTTTGGAAGGCTGAGGCAGAAGGATCGCCGGAACCCAGCAGGTCAACACTGGGGTGGCCCATGAGTGTGCCACGGCACTCCAGCCTGGGCGACAGAGTGAGACTCCAACTCAAAAAAAAAATTGTGTATTTATTCTTACATGTTTAAACTTCGGTCACCTTCAAAGTACACTCCATTTGATGCAATGCACCTATCAAGATGCTTTTCCCACCTCTCAACAGCTTTGGACTCGTCAATTAAGATGCCTTTTAGTGCTTCTGCAGTTTTTTGTTTCACCTCTTCCACATCGGCAAAATGTTTCCCTTTGAGGACTTATTTCATCCTTGGAAACAGACAAACAAAAAAATAGCTGTATGGGGCAAAATTGGGTAATTAGGGAGTGTGGAGCACTGGAGTCATGTCATGTTTGGTCAAAACTGCTGAACACTCAGCATGGTGTGGGCAGGTGTGCCCAGAAAATCATCCATCATGAAATGTGCCAATGCATTGAAAGAATCTGCAAAAAAATTTTCACTAAAGCCAAACACAGTCTTTCACAGCACTAACTGGTATACTGATGCTGATGAGTTCCTAGAATACTTACTTGGCAGAGGAAGCCTGTGTACTACAAGGGGCCTGCCCTCCAAAAGATACTTCTGGTTTTCTTTAGGTCCCCCCTTGTGTTTGCTTCAACACATATCAGTGCATTAGTTCACCCCTCTACCTATCCATCAGCTCATCTTTATCTTTGATGCTTTTCAAAGTAAGCTGTAGACATCAGTACACTTCGCCCTCAGCACGGCAGCCTAGGTAGCTTTATATGAGTTCAATATATTCAAGGGTAAATTTTACAAGTGAAATGCACAAATCTTAACTTTACCATTCCATGAATTTTGACCAATGTATTCAACCATGTAACCCACACCCTAGGGAGATACAGACCAGAGCCACTCCTGGAACTGTTTGCAGGAATGGAAATCATCTGCACCATCCATGTGGCTACTGAGAGTTTCAAATGTGGCTACTACAAGTGAGAAATCAATTTTCACTTTATTTAATTGTAAATCATTTCAACATAAATAACCCACAGAGCTGGTGGTCAGCGTATCGAACAATGCGGATATAGGACATCATATCCATCTCCCCAGAAAGCTCTGTCCTGTCCATTGCCTCGGGCCCCTTCTATTCTAGAACTATAAATTGAATAACACTATGTACCTTTTTGTGCCTGGCTTCTATCACTCAGTATAATATTTTTGAAAGTCATCTTGATGTCATTTCAGAGGCTGGTTTCTTTTATTGCTAAGTTCTATCTCACCTCATGAATATACCTCAGTTTGTCCATTCTTCTATTGATAGACATTGGGTCATTTCCAGTTTGGGGCTATTATGCATAAAGCTATTGTGAACATTCATATAAGTTTTGTATCGCTGTATTTTTTTTTCTTGAGTAGGATTGTCGAGTCACAAAACAACTATTTCTTTAGTCTTCTAAGAAACTGCCAGACTTTTTTTTCCAAAGTGGTTGTGCTTCTACAAGCAATGGATGGGAGTTCTGTTTGCTTCACATACTCACCAAATTTGATGTTGTCAATCTTTTGAATTTTAGTCAACTGATAAGTGTACAGTGGTATCTCATTGTATTCTATTTTGCACGCATCACCAGTGGTATCTCATTGGGTTCTATTTTGCATGCATCACCATGTTTCATTTTCTTACCAGTTCTAAACAATTTTTTGTTTACTTGTAGATTTTTTTTCTTTGTCTTCTCCCTCTATTGTAAGTTCCATGAGGGTAAGAACATTGTCTAGCTTGTTCACTGATCTATCTCTAGTGCCTGGTATATAGTACGTATTCAATAAATTCATTCAGTCTTGTATTCAACAAATAGCTTTTGAGTACCTTAAGCCAAGCAGATATTATTAATCTAATGAGATGACAGGTGAGAACACTGAGGCCAAGAGACAACAGACTGGCCCATGTTTGACAAAGCTGATAACAATTACTAATCATAACCTATATATACGGATGCCTACTGTGTGTCAGGCACCACCTAGGACCTATGTGAACTGTCTGAATCCCCACAAAATTGCAATGAAGAATATTATTTATTGTTAACCCATTTTAAAAGATAAAAAACTCAAAGAGAAATTAATAGCTTGCCTCTTGGTGTGGTCATTTTAAATAAATAATTTTGATACTACTCTCTCTGAGAGGTGGAGTTTAATTTCTGTCCCCCTGAGTGTGGGCTGGATTTAGTTATTCTCTTCTAACAAATAGAATATAATGGGCCAGGTCGGTGGCTCATGCCTATAATCCCAGGGCTTTAGGAGACTAAGGTGAAAGGATCACTTAAAGCTGGGAGTTTGAGAACAGTCTGTACAACATAGTAAGAGCCCATCTTTACAGAAAATAAAAAAACGTTTATTGTTTTTTTATTGGTGACGTCCATCTGTAGTCCTAGCTACTTAAGAGGCTGATGTGGGAGGATCATCTGAGTCCAGGAGTTCAAGGCTGCAATGAGCTGAAATCATGCCACTGCACTCCAGCCTGGGCAACAAAGTGAGACCCTGTCTATAAGGAAAAAAAAAAGAATATGGTAGAAGTAGTATTGTGTGACTTCCAAGAATAAATTATGAAAGGTATTATGGCTTTCTCTCTCTCTCTCTCTCTCTCCAATCCTGCCATATATGACTCAAGTAGTCATATAAAGAAAAGG